AACAGGGAAAAAAATGTGGTATGGAAAAACCACAACAATTTATCATGCAGATCAGGGTTCAAGGTGAATCCAGGATTCAAATAGATTTGGAGGCTACCAATCTAGATCCAGCAGGAAGGATTATTTGTGGACTTTCAAATATGGGCCAATAATCTGTCCATCCTCTGTCTCTCAGCCTCATCTGTAAAAGACGTGTATGAATTGATTGTCTTTCACTAGCCATAGGGGAACTCAGCAAGCCATTTTTAGGGGGTGATGTTAGAATCCCTGTAGCAAATTAGGGTGGCCTAGCAACTCGCAAGTAGTTCAGGGGTGGAGACGTGGTGCGATGTGACATCATGTGCACCACTATATCACTTCTAGGGAAATCCCGAAAGTGACGTAAGGTAGCCCTAGGAATCGCCAGAAACTCCATGGTTTCCTCTGGAAGTGATGTAGTAATGCACACAATGCCGAATTTTACAAAAATTTATCTTGCTACCGCTTGGGGAGGTGGGAGGTAAGGATAGTTGTCAGTGGGAGGCCTCTTGCCGTAGTGGTAGGGCTGGCAGCCCTATAGCAAATCAGGTGGAGCTTTGTACTTGGACATTCAGGTCATCTCAGTGTATGGTTCATAAGAGGTGCAATATTGCATGTATTTCTTTAAAATATTATTACCCCACCTTTCTCCATAAACATAGGTTCAGTGCAGTTTACAATACAGAAGATTATAGCAATATACAAGCCCAGGAGGTAAAACAGCTTCTGAACCATATATATCATTAAAATATCAATAAAGTATGAACTCAGAATAAAAATCAAACAAAGTCTGTTGAAACAAGCTCTCTTTAAAAACCCTGTAGACAGAAAACAGCTTGTTTCAGGGCAGCTACCAAAAAAGTCCTGGAATGGGCTGCCACCATCCAGACCCTCCAGCGGGCCAGTAGAGGACCCTCCAGTGGAGAGCCTGATGTCATGACACACACGTTGATACAGGGAGAAGCAGTGCTTCCAATATGTGCTTCCCACATGGAATTGGTAGAAAGCATTTTTCACAACAATGCTCACTTGCATCTCCTTCATCAAGTCACCCCCCCCCCCAAAGCTCTTCACATAATTTGCTGAAGAAAGGATTACCTCCTTCAGCACTGGCAATAACCAGACTATTTGCTCTACCGACCGGCATGACCAATGCCTTTCCTGGATTCAGATTCAGCTTGTTGCACCTTAGTCACTTGACCGCAGCATCCAGGCTCTGGTGTAGGACAGAGACAGCCACTTCTGGAGGTTTAGATACTGAAATATAGAGCTGGGTCTCATCACCTTATTGATGACACCCTATGTGGCGGAATGTGCCTGCTCTGGCCTGCAGGCCCTGTTCCATCCTGACCTTTGTACGGAATTGCCTTCTGGAAGGGTTAAGACTCCCAGCTTCCAAGTTCTGAGGCCTTGCTCCCATGGTCACCAAGGGGACAGTTGCATGCCCTTGGAGGAATAGCTACTTCTCAACTGCCTGCCTTCCCCCGGCACCCCTTTTAAAATAGCGTGTCCAAGATGGTGGAAATCTATATGGTACGGAGAACCACTACCAGCATCAAAAGTTATAAAGTATTTATTAAAGAGAAAATGTTCCCAAACATACTTTTAGCACTGCATCAGATTGAGCAAGGGACTCAAAAGAAATGGGTAAAACAAAAAACTACTGTCCCTCTCTCTATACATTCCCTATCAGAAGTTAAAATATAGGACAGGAGCTTTAGCTTATAGAGTTGCAAATCTCTACAGAGGTTCAGTTACATTGAAGCTCCCTCCAGCTGTTCAGTTAGGTGAGCACATGATCAATGGCTGCCTCACGTAAGAGTCCTGTGTGCTCTGGTGAACTCAGTACCAAAGAAGCAGACCTCTTCCTTGCTACAAGGAGTTTTTATCATATCTGTTTCCCTACCCTCTGACCAGGTCAGGCCAGATTCCTGAAGTCTCCAGAAATTTCCTTCCTGCAACCTTTCTAGCACTTAATACCTCCAAATCTCTGTTCCCTGCTTGGAAGGGGGGAGGCTGGCCCATCCAAGTGTCTCTAGCTGGACCTATTAGCAACTGACTTCCTCCCCCTCACTTGTTCTCTGCCCAGAGAGGGGAAAAAACTTTTATAACTCTAAAGGAAAAAATGCCTTTCTTCATACCCTGCCTCAGAACTGTGAACTATCTCATGTGGTGCCCTGACATATCTCCTAAACAATGTAGGGCAAGAGGACAGAGCCCTTGGGCACTCCAAGTAGCAGCCCTCTTGGGTAGCTGACTCAACTTCTACAAGGCTAACGTTTTGTGTCAGTTGGACTAAAAATGGCAAATCACTGAAGTGCCTGTCCTCTCTCACCCACTCCATTCTCTAAACAATTAAATAGAATGGAGTGATCTCGTCTGTCAGAGAGCCCACCAGTGGATCCAGTCAGATCAGCAAGGAAGCATTGCCCCTGTCCATCTGCAGATGAGGCATCAAAACAACAAATGTCCTCTCTGTATCAAAGTTAGGCCAGAAGCCAGGATTGAGGGCAGAGGCGTCATCCAGGAAAGTCTGCTCTGCCACCACCCACTCGACCAATTCGCCCAAAATGACAAGTTTGAAACTGGCCTGTAATAATTTAACTCATAATTAGGTAAGGTAGGCTTAGAGTTAAGGCTTTTATCATCTGCTCTGTTGTGTGGGCTCTGACCTGGATGGCCCAGGCTTGTTCCATCTCATCAGATCCTGGAAGCTAAGTAGTGTCGGCCCTGTTTAAGTGTTTGGATGGGCAACCACCAAGAAGTCCATGGTTGCTATGCAGAAGCAGGCAATGGCAAACAGCTCTTTTCCTGAAAACCCTACAGCAGGGGTATCGAACACATTTGTTCTGAGGACCGGATCTGACATAAATGAGATCTTGTTGGGCCGGGCCCTGTGTGTCATAAAATGTAATGCCAGGTAGCGGAGATATAAACTTTATAAAGGATACTAACAGAAAGGTTTTTTAAAAACTTAAAATAAAAACATGCTTAAAACATTGGCACTCTTGCAATATTTTGTTTATTTAACAGTGTCTGATAACTGACACCTCTTGCTCTGAATTATTGCATCAAAATGCCTGTGCTGTTGCAATCTTGAGTATGCTGTTCAGCTGTGTATCTGTAAGCTGCAAACCTCCGATGACGCAGCAGCAGCAGAACTGGAAGAAGCAGAAGACAGCCATTTCCACTGCGGGCCTGATGGAAGCCCTCCAGGGGCCTGAACCAGCCCCCGGGCTGCACATTTGACACCCCTGCTCTACAAAGTCACCATATGTCCGCTGTGACCTGACAACACTTTCCACCCCCACCCCCACCTGCTTTATGAATAGTTTTTGTGCTGCTGGTGATGAATGTGTTGTGTTTTTTAATGGCTTGTGTTTTAACACTGTGGGTTTTAATTGTAAGATGCCTTGAGCAGGACTCTGAAGAGGTGACACAGAAATATTCTAAATGAATAAATAATAAATAAGTAAGCTTCTTGGCAGTGGTCTGATAACAGCCTCCTCCAAAGGGTTGGAAAGAAGAAGAGTTGGTTTTTATACCCTGCTTTTCTCTACTCTAAGGAGTCTCAGAAAGTTTTACAATCGCCTTTCCTTTCCTTTCCCCACAACAGACACCCTGTGAGGTAGGTGGGGCTGAGAGAGTTCTGAGAGAACGGTGACTGGCCCAAGGTCACCCAGCTGGCTTCATGTGGAGGAGTGGGGAATCAAACACAATTTGTCAGATTTAAGTCCACCATTCTTAACCACTCTAGCAAACCACCCAGCTATTTCCCAGACAGATTTTGTAAGCCAGGATGAACAAGGATCTTCATTTACAGATGGTATTTTTCACAGCCCCAAGCGCCCTGTCAACATCCATTGGAAAGATCAATCTGAATCTGTCCATAACAGCTTGATGAGGTGATGCTACTCTCACCTCTGAAGCCCAATCTGTTTTTAAATGAATGTCAAAGTCATACTGGGTCAGAGTGATTTTAGCCACAGAGATTCTCGCAAAAAACAGTCAGTGAACAGACAAATCACTGTTTCCAATTGACTTCGCCCTAGGAGTCATCAAGTTTTGAACGACCCTAAATAATTTTAATTGTATGGGATTCAAGCGGATGTAGTCAGCAGCAGAGAATAAAGCCTTCTTTGCCACCCTCACTGCTACCTCGTAGGCTTTCAGAATGAACTTTGTGGTGAACTGTTATCTGATTCAGCCTGAGTCTTCCAGCAACAGCACTCAAGATGTCTCCCAATTGATTTAAGTCCCTCAGCCCCTCAGTTAACCAAACTAGGTGGCTACTCAAGGGGGGGGAGAATGACAGGAAAACAACTCAACCGATTTCTTGCTCAGGCCTGTTGTTTCTTCTCACTAGTGCTTCAGAAGAAACACTGGCTAGGTTCTGAGGGGGTAATTCAAGTCTGGTTCCAGCCCCCTCCCCCAAGCCTCCATTTTGTATCTGTCTCTGATTGTTCATTTTGGCATTCATGGATTTTGTTTCTTGTTCCGATTGATGGACCATGGGGTTCTAGTGATACACAGAGTGCATCACACAAGCCTGCAGTCTTCCCGCCTTTTCTCTGGAGGTCTCGACGTCTCAGTCTCACGCTGTTTTGAGCCAAAACGCAATCGACACCAAGACAATCGTCCCACCTGGCAGAGTGATGGCTGGAAGGGCCATGGGCCTTGCTGGAGCTCAGCTGCCAGTTTCTGAAAAGAGAGATGCCGGAAATCAAATATTCCTGGCATGTTTCGCCTGTGACAAGAGATCCCAGCTTGCTCATGCTAGATTTGTAGTGTGAAGGGAAAAGCACTCCATACTTGTTCCACCACTCTCCTGTAATATTCAGGGTGGGAGGGGGACACCTGTGGCTTGGAATTCAGAATAGGTGTGGAGGTGTGGATTAATCTCAGATTAATCCCTCTCTCAGTAGGACGGAGTTACTGATGCTCACCTCTCGTTCTCTCTCTTTCTTCCCACATGCTCTCAGGTGCCACTTTTGATGTGGCGATGCGCTTCCTGTACGAATGCCCCTGGCGCCGGCTGCAGGAGTTGCGTGAGCTGATCCCCAACATCCCATTCCAGATGCTGCTGAGAGGAGCCAATGCTGTAGGCTACACCAACTACCCGGACAACTCCGTCTTCAAGTAAGCAGATAGAGCTTTGCACAGAACTCTGCAATGTGTGGTATAGATTTTGCTTATCTAACTATATTTATAATTATAATTATCATTATCATCATCATCATCATCATTATTATTATTATTATTATTACTTTTATACTGTCCTCCCTGTGAAGCGGGGTCAGAGCAGTGCACAACAGAAAGATTAGAACAATTCTTCAGTTTATACATACAAATAAATACAAAGGTTTTTAAAACAACGATTCATATTCAAAGTATAGACCTATATGGCGTCATATTATGAATTTGCACCCCATTGGCGGGGGAGGAAAGTGAGAGGTAGTCAGTTGGCCAGTTTGCTTTTAAAACCCTGTTGCTGTCCTCAGCTATATGTCTGGTGGAACATCTCTGCCTTACAGGCCCTGTGGAACTGTAAAACGGGTCCCACAGGGCCCTGATGTTATTTGGCAGAGAGTTCCATCAGGTCGGGGCCAGAGCTGAAAAGGCCCTGGCTCTGGTCGAGGACAGCCTGACGCTCCTTGGGCCAAGACCTTCCAGCAGATGTTGTTCTCCTGAGCGCTACGCTCTCCGGGGAACATACCAGGAGAGGCAGTCCAACAGGTACATTGGCCCCAGACCATTTAGGGTCTTGAAGGTCAAAACCAAAACCTTGAACCTGACCCAGTACTCAATCTGGAGCCAGTGCAGCTGACGCAGCACAGGTTGAATGTGTGCAGTCAGTGGAGTCCCCATAAGGACCCGGGCCCGCTGCATTCTGGACCAGTTGTAATTTCCATATCAGGCTCAAGGGCAGTCCTGTGTAGACTGAGTTACAGTAATCAAGCCTAGAGGTGACCGTTGCATGGATTACAGTGGCCAGGTTGGAGCGAGACAGGTAAGGGGCCAGTTGCTGGCTCTAGCATAGTTGGTAAAACGCCAGTCTGACAACATGTGCAATCTGGGCCTCCATTGATAAGGAGGCATCCAGAAACACACCCAAGTTCTTGACGATTTGCACCATGGTCAGTGGTGTGTGGTCAAGAGCCAGTAGTTGGCACCCAAGTCCTGAATCTCCCCCACCCAGCCAGAGAACCTCCGTCTTTGCTGGATTCTGTCTCAACCAGCTCTGCTTTAGCCACCTCACCATGGCATCGGAACCCTCAGCCAGGTTTCCTGGGGCGGTGTCTGGCCAGCTGACCAGCCATCAACAGGTATAACTGGGTGTCATCAGCCTATTGATGTCACTCTAGCCCAAAACTCCCCACCAGCGGGGCGAGAGGGCTCATAGAGATGTTAAATAACATCGAGGAGAGGATAGTCCCCCTGGGGGACCCCACAAAACACAGGGTATCAGGAGGAGACCCTTTCTCCCAGCACCACTCTCCGTTCGGACCACGGAGAAAGGAAACAACCCTCTTTAGGGCTGTCCCACGTACTCCAATGCCGGCAAGGTGGTGAGCGATGTTCCCTCTAAGCTCTGGAGTCTTGTGAGCCAAAATTCTACTTTGTGAGCTACTGGCGTTAAAGCTGTGAGCCAGCGATTTGGTTACTGCATAAATTAGTTTGCTCTGGAGCCATCCTTCCTGAGCGAAGACAAAAATGTGTGAGCCAGGGGCTAAAAAACTGTGAGCTGGCTCACACGAAATCAGCTTAGAGGGAACACTGGTGGTGAGCCAACAGAATGTGATCGACTGTGTCGAACGCTGATGTCAAATCTAGCGATAACAGCAGCACCAACCGACCTTGATCCAGCTGACTGCAGAGATTGTCTGTGAGGGTGACCAGCACGATCTCCATCCCCTGGCTGGGGCAGAAGCCAAACTGGAAGGAGTCTAACGCTGTCTCCATCCCATGGCTGGGGCAGAAGCCAAACTGGAAGGGGTCTAACGCCGATGTATCCTCCAGGAAACCCTGGAGCTGTTCAGCTGCTACCCTCTGAATTACCTTTCCGAGAAACGAAAGATTCGAAACTGGGCGGTAATTGGATGGATCAGAAGGATCCAGCAACGTCTTCTTCAAGAGCCGTGTTACCGTTGCCTCTTTTAAGCCCTCCGGATACACCCTTGAGTGGAGGGACAGATTGATAATGTCCATCAAAGAGTCCTTTATACCCTCACTACTGGCTCACACCAGCCACAAAGGACACGGGTCTAAGAGGCAAGTGTGTGCATGGTAGGGAATTGTGCTATGAGACTCAGGAGGGAAAGGTCTGAATTTCTTCAGTCTCACCCTTTGAGTTCTTGTGAGGATAAAATAATGAGGAAAAGAAACCCTCCATCCAGGACTCATTTGAAGAAGGGCAGGAACAAACCCTTCAAACCCTCATTTGAAGAAGGGTGCAGCAAACAAACAAACCATCAAAAACCGAATCACAGCACAGAGGAATCCAGGACAACGCAATGGCCCCCGGCCTCTGACTGAGTAGGCTAGGTAAGCAATCCCCCTACTACGCCCAGTAGCAAAGCTCTTCCATGAGTACACCCCCTCCTTCCAAAACCACAACACCAACCAACACATTCATCCTTCACTTATATAGATCTGAGTGTCGCGGAGTGCACTCCTGGCGTCCCCAGGTCTCCGGTGGATTCTAGCAGCCCAATTGCACCCTGCTGAAGTTCTGCTATAGTCACCACACAGACTCAGGTTTAGTGGTAAACTATAGACAGTGTATTTTATTTACAAGTCACAGTTCTCTCGGGCAAAGTGTTTCGCCAAGCAGTCAGTTTTCACATCAGCACACAATACACAAGACATTCACAGTTATATACAACCAATCACATCACTGCTGAGTCACTCTGATAAGACATCAGCTCTGTACCAGTTAGATCCGGATTGCTCTGGTCACCTGGACTGTCAGTTACTTTGACATCTGTCACTTGGATTGAGTTGATCTATGTACATTGTTACACATGTATCACACATGCTGAATACTTACACATTCCAACACTGAGTCCCGTTGTGACGAATGGGAACTCTGTTATTGGCAGGCAGCAGTGCCTGTCAAGCTTTGGAGGGTCCCTATTTGTTTTTCCAAGGCTGGAAAACACCACCCCCACTGTTGTCTAGCATTTTTGTGCCAGCGTTTCTGGGTGAGTTTCGTTTTCTGAACAGCCCCAATCTGTGCCCAAAACCTCAGAGATTTCTTCAGAGACCACATGCGTGCCAAACATAACCTCCCAAGCCCCAATCTGTCCAGAATTCAAGAAACATTTTGGCTCGTCACGCAGTTCGTGCCCATCCCTACCCACAAGTTCTTGTATTGTGAGAAAGGGAGAAAAGTACTTCTTTTTCTACCTTCTCTGTCCCATGTATAATTTTGCAACGCTCTATCATGTGACCCCCTCAATCATCGTTTCTCCAAGCTAAAGAGCCCTAACCTCTTTAACTTTTCTTCATAGGGAAGGTGTTCCATCCCCTTAATCGTTTTAGTTGCCCTTTTCTGCGCTTTTTCCAATGCCATAATATCCTTTTTGAGGTGATAGTCTGGGGGGAGGGAGAAACACTTCTCTCCAGCTTGTAAGCCCTGTTCTTTGCGTGGTCATTGAACCAACACAGTTCAGATGTTAAGATGTTACCTCTTTAACCTTTCTTCATAGGGAAGGTGTTCCATCCCCTTAATCGTTTTAGTTGCCCTTTTCTGCGCTTTTTCCAACGCCATAATATCTTTTTTGAGGTGAGAGTCTGGGGGGAGGGAGAAACACTTCTCTCCAGCTTGTAAGCCCTGTTCTTTGCGTGGTCACCTGCAAGTGATTGCTGTTCACCAAGGGTGATTAAGCAACCATATGCTTTAATCTGTTATTTCTCCAGAAGGAGAGGCTGGTTGTGACAAGTTCCGAGAGGCTCCTAACCTAGGCTGGTTTGGGGGAGGGGGTCTGCAGGACAGAGATTGTGATTAATCCCTTGGTGCCCCATGCTTGCTTGGTCATGACCCTACACTTTACTTCCTCAGGTTCTGCCAAGTGGCCAAGGAGAATGGCATGGACATCTTCCGGGTCTTTGACTCACTGAACTACCTGCCCAACATGCTGCTGGGCATGGAGGCAGCCGGACAAGCTGGAGGCGTGGTGGAGGCCGCCATCTCTTACACCGGGGACGTGGCTGATCCCAGCCGCACCAAGTATACGCTAGATTATTACGTCAATCTGGCTGAGGAGCTGGTCAAAGCTGGAACTCATATCTTGGCCATCAAGGTAAAAAGGGTTGGGGGGGATCAGCTGTACCCCCAGAGTTTCTGTAAGCCTCCCTGCATATCACATTAGTGTAGATGTGCCCAGAAGCAACTGTCTCCCCCATTCCCCAAATATGCAGATAAAAGAATCCTCAGCCGTGTGGCCGACCTTAAGCTCAACCTTTAGCCCCAAAGTTAAGAATATAAGAAGAGCCCTGCTGAATCAGACCAGGGGGTCCATCTAGTCTAGCATTCTGTTTCACGCTGCGGCCAACCAGTTGCCCTGGAGGGCCAACAAACAGGGCATAGAGGTGGAGGCCTTCCCCAATGCTGCCTCCTGGCACTTGTATTTAGAGGCTGACTGCCTCTGAATGTGGAGGTTCCCTTAGTCGCCATGGCTAGTAGCCACTGATGGACCTGTCCTCCATGAATCAGTCTCATCCTCTTTTAAAGCTGCCTGTGGCCATCACTACATCCTCTAGCAGCAAATTCCACCTTTTCATCACTTGCTGTGATTCCCCTGGAGGACACAAACATTTGTTTCCCGCCGAGACTTAAAGTGGATGACAGGACATTCAGGAAACGGTGCAATCGGACAGTGTAAGATAACCAATGAGCAATGTAGCGGGACTGGTGGGAGTGGAAAGTGCCATCCCGTCACAGCCAATTTACGGCAACCCCAGAAGGGTTTTCAAGGCAAGAGACATTCAGAGACATTGCCTGGCTCTGGATGTTTCCTTGGTGGTCTCCCATCCAAGTGCTAACCGGGGCTGACCCTGCTTAGCTTCCAAGGTCTGACGAGATCAGGCTAGCCTGGGCTAACCAGGACTAGGATTGCAAAATTAGAGAACGAGAACAACAAAACTATTCAAGGCAGGTAAACTGTTAGTAATACATGTGAAAGCAGGTGATGCAGTAATCACTGCAATGGACCATTCCGTTATACAGGTGCCCTCTTGGACTGCTCATTCTACTACAGTTCTAAACTCTTTTCTAAAAACTGTACTCTTGAACAGTACAGTTTTGCACATCCTGTGGAATAACAGAACTGCGAGAACCTTCCTAACCTTTTGGACCAGGCCTTAGCACAGTTCCGCTAGTCAGCTTCACGGCTTGGCGTTAACCCTCCTCCCGTGTCCCCGGCATGATTGTGTACAAGGGTCACGCCGCTCATGGAATAGCATTTTCCCCATTGGTGCTGCGAGCCAGGGAAGAAGCAGGGATCTACAAAGCAAAAATAAAGTCAGCATGAAGATCCTGACTCTGCTGCAAAAGGACAAGAGCAGCAGGAAGTCAAAGAGAGGAGAAGAGAGATGGACAGAACGAAAGAGAGGGGAGAGAAAGAAGGGGATGACTAGAAAAAAAATAATAAACTCATGTTTCAAGATAGGGATCAGTATGGAAAGCACATAACTGAGACCTCCCCCCCGTACCCTGAACTCCCGCAACCTCCCCCCCTTTTTTGGCTTGCCAGACTTATTCTCCCTGGCTCCTCCCACCGTCTTTGTTTTGCCCCACCCCTCCCACTAGGTCCTCCCTCACTGAAACCTCACTCCTGCCCCCTCACGGCTCCCTTCCCCGCACATTCCCGGAACCAGCTCCTCTTTGTTCCCGTGTGTCCCCCGCCCACCTCAGCCTCCCCCTGCTCTCTCTTGCAGGACATGGCTGGCGTCCTGAAGCCACAGGCTTCCTCCATGTTGGTCGGGGCACTGCGCGAGCACTTCCCCAGTGTCCCTCTGCACATCCACACCCATGATACGTCGGGTGCCGGTGTGGCTTCCATGTTGGCTTGCGCAGCTGCAGGCGCCGATATTGTGGATGTGGCCATCGATTCAATGTCCGGAATGACCTCTCAGCCGAGCATGGGAGCAATGGTGGCTTGCACCCGGGGAACCGAGTATGACACAGGTGCGAAAATCAACAGGTGTCTCCATTTCGTGGAGGGAGCAAGGTCCAGGGATTATTTTATTTCATTTATACCATTCCATTCTCTCCAGTGGGGACCCAAAGCAGTTTGCATCATTGTCCTCTCCCCCATTTTATCATCACAACAACCGTGTGAAGTAGGTTAGACTGAGAGTATGTGACTGTCCCAAGGTCCCCCAGCGAGCTTCCATAGCAGAGTGCACATTTGAACCTGGGTCTTGCTGATCCATCGAGGGCTCTGACTACTACACCGATGGATCCTTAGGATTCCATCCCATGCTATGGGAATGAGGTCAAGTGGGGTGAGGTTGGTGCCATGAGTTCAAATCTGGGGAAGGGGGGAGAGCTGGTCTAACAGAGTGGCTAAGTGACTGAGCTTTAAATTAGGATGCCTTGGGTTCAAATCTTGATTCTGCCTTTTACTCACTTGGGGGCTTTAGACAGGTCTTTAGACAGGCTTTAGACAGGTCCATCAGCCTCAATAGGATTGCCAGCTCGGCTGGGAAATACCTGGAGATTTTGGAGGTGGAGCCTGAGGAAGGCGGGGTTTGGTGAAGGGAGGGACTTAAATGGATTCTAGTACCATAGAGTCCACCTTCCAGAGCAGCCATTTTCTCCAGGCAAACTGATCTCTGTTGCCTGGAGAACAGTTGTAATCCCAGGAGTTCTCCAGCCACCACCTGGAGGTTGTATCAAAACACAAACACTCCATGAAAAACCTATGAACAGAAGTAGAAAGAATATATTATCCAAGACAATTTTAACTATTCTTAACAGTTCAAATATTTCTCCAATGCAAACACTTATAATTTCTTAAAGGGTTAGGGTCCAACAGTACTTAATATTTATTTATTTATTTATTTAACCTTCGACTTCTATCCCGCTCACCCCCTAGGGGCTCTGAGCGGCTTACAATTCCAATTTGCCAATCTAATCTAGGGCCACATATGAAGGGGAGGTGAGAAGCCTACCAGGCACCCTTAATACAAAAGACAAAATCCAAGTAAAGGAGAGCCAGTTTGGTGTAGTGGTTAAGTGCGCGGACTCTAATCTGGGAGAACCGGGTTTGATTCCCCACTCCTCCACTTGTACCTGCTGATGTGACCTTGGGTCAGTCACAAGCTCTGGCACAGCTGTCCTTGAAAAAGAGCAGTTTGTGTCAGAGCTCTCTCAGCCCCACCCACCTCACAGGGTGTCTGTTGTGGGGAGGGGAAGGGAAAGGAGTTTGTAAGCCGCTCTGAGACTCCAAGTGAAGGGCGGGGTATAAATCCAATCTCTTCTTCTTCTTCTTCCCACCAGGAAAGGATGTTTCTTCTTCTTCTTCTTCTTCTCTTCTGTATAAGATGCTCCAGGAGAGCAGACGCTTCAAAAAAGTGAAAGTTCCACAGGAAAACAAAGGTTCCACGTTAAGGGAGTAGCAGCTATACACGGCCGGCTTCAGTGCCGCGTTCGCTTCCTGCTTCCTCAGATAGCTGATACTCTTCTAGCTGTGAAATCAAAAGATAATTTAACAATTCTCCTTAGACCAGATTTCCAAATCCAGTCACCCCATTAACATGTTGTTCTTTCTGTCAACAATGCTTCTACAATACATTCACTTTTTTGAAGCGTCTGCTCTCCTGAAGCATCTTATACAGAAGATTAGTGAACTTTACTTGGATTTAAGTACTTTTGGATCCTAACCCTTTAAGAAATTATAAGAGTGTTTGCACTGGAGAAATATTTGAACTGTTAAGAATTGTTGAAATTGTCTTGGGTAGCATATTCATCCTATGTCTGTTCATAAGTTTTTCATGGAGTGTTTGAGTTTTGATACAACCTCCTCCCGTGAGCTCTCTTTTGGATATAACCACCTGGAGGTTGGCAACTCTTCCTATCTACATCATCATGTTGGGGGGGTTGTAGGGCTTCCCGTTTCTGACCTAACGTCTGGGACTAACTGGGAGTGGTCTCTGTTTTTCCACTGCCCTATCGCCTGCATCGAACCAGGGCTCGATATGGAGAAAGTTTTCGACTACATTGAATACTGGGAGGTCACTCGGGGCCTCTACGCCCCCTTTGACTGCACGGCAACCATGAAATCCGGGAACGCTGATGTCTACGAGAACGAGATTCCTGGGGGACAGTATACCAACTTGCACTTCCAGGCCCACAGCATGGGGCTGGGCAACAAGTTCAAGGAGGTGAAGAAGGCCTATGTGGAAGCGAACAAAATACTCGGGGACCTCATCAAGGTAAGAATGCCTATCCCTGGCCCTTTGGTCCCCCGACCCCCTCTGCTCGCTTATGCCTTTTACCCACAGGAAGGAGGGCAAGGTGGTGGTGGAGATTGCCATCAAGTCGCCACTGACTTTCAGCGACTCTGTAGGGTTTTCCAGGCAAGAGACGTTCAGAGGTGCTTGGCCATTGCCTGCCTCGGGGTCTCAGCCCTGGTATTCCTCGGTGGTTTCCCATCCAAGTACTGACCAGGCCTGACCCTGCTTAGCTTCCAGGATCTGAAGAGATTGGGCAAGGTGGATAGTGGCATTTGTGACTTCTCTCCTAAGGTAGCCTTCAGAGGGCTCCTTTTCTTTGAAGGGCGACACATGGTGGTTCAGAGATAACTCACATTGGGGGTGGGGGTGGGGGGGAAAAGAAATCTTGTGCATTAATTAGGGTTGCCAACCTCCAGGTGGGGGCTGGGGATCTCCCAGAATTAGAACTGGTCTCCAGGAGACAGACATCTGTTCCCCTGGAGAAAATGGCTGCTTTGTAGGGTGGCATCTGTGGCTCTATGTCCCCACTGAGATCCGGCCCCTCCCCAAACCCCACCCTCCACAGGCTTCACCCCCAAAATCTCCAGCTATTTCCCAACCCAGAGCTGGCAACCCTCTGTATCATGCCACTGCCAGTCATACAAGGATATGCTCTCAACCCTTTGCACAATGTGTTCTTCCCTGTCGGCCGAGGCTCTCCATGCGTTTGTTTCATAAAGAGGTTAAGCTTCGGTCCCCTTCATCCATCAGACCTCAGCATTCTGTTTAAGGGTTGTCAGGCCAGCTGCCCTCCTGTCGGCTCAAGACCTCACTGCTCACCTCTCCCTCCCTCCTCCCCGCAGGTGACCCCCTCTTCGAAGATCGTGGGTGACCTGGCACAGTTCATGGTTCAGAACAACCTGACGCGGCAGGACGTGGAAGCCCAGGCGGACGAGCTCTCCTTCCCGGCCTCTGTGGTGGGGTTTCTGCAAGGCTACATCGGCATCCCGCACGGGGGCTTCCCAGAACCCTTCCGATCCAAGGTAGTTTCTTGGGGGTCCGGCGGAGGAGGAGCTGTGCACTGCGGGGGGCTCTTGTCCATTGGGTGGGGGGGAAGTGCCCTCAAGTCGCAGCTGACTCGTGGTGACCCCATAGGGCAGGGGTGTCGAATTCATGTGTTCTGAGGGCCGGATCTGGCATAAGTGAGACCTTGTCGGGCCAGGCCGTGTGTGTCATAAAATATAATGCCAGGTAGCAGAGATATAAACTTTATAAAGGACACAAACAAAAAGGTGTTGTTGTTTTTTTACTTAAAATAAAAATATGCTTAAAACATTAGCTCTGTAAGCGGCAAACCTACTTTTGATTTATTGCCATTCACCACAGAAATCTCATGCTGAGTCTAGGACCCAGGTTAAAACATGAAATGGCTGAGTGATTAAGAGAGTCTGGGGAAACAAGCTATGATGCAGCAGCAGCAGCAGCAGAACTGGAAGCTGGAGATGGCCAGTTCCACTGCGGGCCTGATGGAAGCCCTCCGGGGGTCTGATCCGGCCCTCGGGCCGCATGTTTGACACCCCTGCTGTAGGGTTTTCAAGCCAAGAGGCGAACAGAGGTGGCTTGCCATTGCCTGTCTCTGCATGGCAACCCTGGACTTCCTTGATGGTCTCCCATCCAAGTACTAACCAGGACTAACCCTGCTTAGCTTCTGAGATCTGACAGCACTGAGCTATCATCCAGGGGCAGGGCTCTTGTCCATTAGGAGGAGAGATTCTGGACATTTCTTCAGAAACTGTGGGAGTCCTAGTCTGCATGGGCACGTATATTTAATCTGTACAGATTTCAGAGACCACATTAAAAAAAAATCTCTGTTTTCTTGCCAAACTCCATGGAATGTAGCCTCACACAGATTACTTATCCCCATTGATTTCCACTGACTCTGTGTTTCAAGCTTTCTGCCACCTCTGCTAAATTAGTGTCGAAAAATCTTGAAAGATGCTTAAAAAAAAAGTGGTGTTTGCCAATTAAGTGATTATTGGGGGGGGGAATGTTAGATAAATGGCCCGATGTGTTGACAACACGCTATGAGCCAAAGATTCCCCGCTGCCTGCAGCCTTGGGCAACAAGTCCGTCTGAGCCAGGGCCGGCTCGCTCACTAGGCGAACTAGGCGTTCGCCTAGAGTGGGCCGGTCCTTAGGGGCGCCAAACTGTACCTGACCCCCCGCCAAAAGCCCCCTTACCCAGCGTGGCCCATTCCTGCGACCTGCCAGCCTGTGAGAGGCTCCGCGGCAGGAGCTGGGAAAGGCGCTGGGCAAGGCAGCAGCTGGGCAAAGTGGGTCAGTCGGTGCGGAAATCCTCTGGCCGGTGGCAGCAGCAGCACCCGAGGGAGGGCGGCAGCCCTAACCAGCACGGGGGGCGATGCACAGGGGGGAGGGGGCGATGCACAGGGGGGCGCCAGAAGGGATCCTTGCCTAGGGTGCAAAATAAGCTGGGGCCGGCCCTGGTCTGAGCATGCTCAGAGCAAGATCAAAATCCTGTGCTCTCTCTCTCCTCGCCCACGAAAGAAAGGAAGAAAGAAAGAAAGAAAGAAAGAAAGAAAGAAAGAAAGAAAGAAAGAAAGAAAGAAAGAAAGAAAGAAGTAGTGTGATCATTTTTCTTTGACAGCCTAGATCAGGAGCTCTCTGGGGGTCCACCAGTGACAAGGGGAGGGGCTCTGTGGAGCTCAGGGGGGGGTTTCCTTAGTAACCAGGGGATGAACTGTATCAGCTCCATAGCAACTCAGAGGAAGAGATTTGTGACCGTCCACTAACGAGTGAGGAAACACTCTTGTGACAGTATCAAAGTGGGAGGTCATCATTTTTTACCCCAAATGTCATATGATTTTACAACTGGGTTCATCTTTGATATAAAGTCATCTTTAGCAAGATGGGTCATGGATTTGTCTTCGAAAGAATATGTTTCTACCTACGCCAAGTCAGGGGATTGGCCCCTTTCCTGTCTCGCCCTGACCTAGCCACAGTGATCCCCGCAATGGTCACCTCCAGGTTAGCCTACTGTAACGTGCTCTGTGCAGGGCTTACCCTTGAGGCTGACCCAGAAATGTCAACTGATCCAGAATGCGGTGGCACGGGTCCTTACAGGGACCACTGTTAGAGCACATATCCAACCGGTGCTCTGCCATCTGCATTGGCTCCAGATTGAATACTGTATCAAGTTCAAGGTGCCGGTTTTAACCTTTAAAGCCCTACGCAGTCTGGGACCAACGTATCTGCAGGACCGCCTCCCCTGGCATACCCCCTAAAGAGCACTCCTCAAATAACAACATACTGACGATCCTGGGACCAAGGAGTGTTCGCCTGGCTTCAGCCAGAGCCTTATCAGCTGTGGCTCCAGCTTGGTGGAATGCACTTCCAAATGAGATCTGGGCCCTGTGGGATTTGGTACAGTTCTGCAAGGCCTGTAAAATGGAAATGTACCACCAAGCGTATGGGTGAGGTCAAAGAACTCTTATCCATACAGACCTTCTTACCTCCCCCCCCTTTTTCCCTGGGGCAGCAGTGTATGTGCCATCTTATGAATTGTAAATGTTGAAATTGTTTAAAAATTTTGTCTTTTGGGGGGTATTTTTTAGTGTGTGTGTTTGTGTGTGCACGCACACGCGCAACTGGAAGTCATGGCGACCTCTGGTGACTGGCCCCTACTGGGGGCCTGGAGGATATTCAGAGAGGTGGCTGAATAAAGCCTGTCCCCACCTCCTGCCTCTGGTATTCCAAGGAGGTCTCCCATCCAAGTACTTGCCAGAGTCAACCCTGCTTAGCAATATTCCCTCTAAGCTGTGGAGTCTTGTGAGCAAAAATTCTACTTTGTGAGCTACTGGCATTAAAGCTGTGAGTGAGGAATTTGGCTACTGCATAAATTAGTTTTCTCTGGAGCCATCCTTCCTGAGCTAAGACAAAAATGTGTGAGCCAGAGGCTAAAAAACTGTGAGCTAGCTCACACTAACTCAGCTTAGAGGGAACACTGCTGCTTAGCCTCTGAAATCTGACGAGATCAGGCTTGCCTGGGCTATCCAGGTCAGGGCTTAGCTGATATATCTTAGTCTTACATTATGTTCTGTTATTGTGTGTTGGAACCCGCCCTGAGCCCCACGTTAGTGGGGGAGAGCGAGATACAAATCAAATCAATCAATCAATCAATGTTTTCATATAGTTGTGTTATGTTCAGATATTTTAATCTGGGCTGTTCCTAGGGCCACTTAGAATAACAATTTTAAACCAACAATTAAAATACAATCCCAATTTCCTCCTCCCTGGTTACCCCCGGGAGGTTTCCTCATCCAGACGCCTTGGCCTCTCCCGCCACTTCCGGCTCATGCACCGGCTTCCTCTCTGCTTCCCTAGGTGCTGAAAGGCCTGCCCCGCATTGAGGGCCGCCCAGGGGCTTCTCTGCCCCCTATGGATTTCCAGAAGCTGGAGCAGGAGCTGTGTGAAAAGCATGAAGAGGAGATTACCCCGGAGGACGTTCTCTCCGCCGCGATGTACCCCAAGGTCTTTGACGAGTTCAAGGAATTCACAGCCAACTTTGGCCCAGTCGAGTGTCTCAACACCCGCCTCTTCCTGGAGGGACCCAAGATAGCGGAGGAGTTCGAGGTGAGCATGGGGAGGTCTTTGCCAACCCAGCTACTCTGGAGAGTCAACCGTCAGGGCACTGAGGCCAAGGCCTTCCCTTGATGTTGCCTCCCAACTCATATGCTGTGCTTCTTTTGTTCTCGATTAATCTCTTTCTTTAATCTCTATTAATCGGCATCCCATACGGGGCTTCCCAGAACCCTTCCGATCCAAGGTAGTTTCTTGGGGACTGGCGAAGAAGGAGCTGTGCTCTGCGGGGGGCTCTTGTCCATCGGTGGGGGAAAGTGCCATCAAGTCACAGCTGACTTATGGCGACCCCATATAGGGTTTTCAAGGCAAGAGACGTCTGGAGGTGGTTTGCCGCTGCCTGCCTTCACCGTCACGTCCCTGGTGTTTCTTGGCGGTCTCCCATCCAGTTACCAGCCAGGGCCAACCCTGCTTAGTTTCCAAGATCTGACGAGATCAGGCTATTAAACATACTGAGGGGGAAACAGCACCGCTCCCAAAATCATAGTGGATGATAGAGTTTGGAGTCTCATTCCATCGATGTGTGTGTTGTGAAGGGAGGGAACCCACCTCTTATCTGGGAAAGCCCTCTCACTGCCCGAGACCCTGGAGAGCCACGTCCAGTCAGGGGAGACAATACCAGGTTGAGGAGCCAATGAACTGACTGAATAGAAGGCAGCATCCTAATTTGCAGTCCACAGTGCAGCAAGTGGCAGTCTCTGGTCCAAACCGGCTTCTTCACAGCCCACTGTATGGCCCTCCTCCCTACCTGTCCCAGAGACAAAAGGGTGCCTTTGGGTGAGACCTTTTTTCCTTTTTGCATTGTTCTTTGAATTTTTGTTACCCCGATCGTGTTGCATTATTTACTGGATCTCTTGTGCTGTCTGATTAGTGGTGGCAGAATGCAGTTGTCGCAGGCGGCTTATGGCAAACCCGTAGGGTCTTCAAGGCAAGAAACAGAGGTGGCTTTGCCATTGCCTGCTTGGATTTCCTTGGAGGTGTTCCATCCAGGTTCCAGCCAGGGTGACTCTGCTTAATTCCCAAGATCTGACAAAACTGAGCTATCCTGGGCCACCTGGGTCAGGGCGTGCTGCAGGCCCATAGCCACAGTGGGGCATTTACGGGCAGTGCCCCCTCACTCGTGGTCCACACTCCGCAACTCCCGCTGCCCCTGCCCGTGCCCTTACCTGCCGGCTGCACTTGTTTGCTTTGGTTACTACAGAACACGGAGAGCCGGCCGGTGCAGTTATTACTCAGTGAGATGCACTCTGCTACAGTAGCGGGTGGGTGAGGCCAGCTGCTACTGTAACACAGAGCGCATATTCCATGAGTATTAATCATGCCGGCCCCCCGGCTCTCCCTCTCCCAGGCCAAGCAAGCGGGCCGATGAGGCATGCAGGCGTCACTGCAGTCATACAGAGAGCACACGCACTCGCCAAGTATTAATCTTCACCTGCTTGCCTGCCTGCCAATGGGACCTCCCCCCCCCCGATTTCCCAATGCCCCACCACCCAAAATTTTTCTGGTTACGCCCCTGGCATGCTGTCTGATTACTACGTTTCCTATTGTGCCATTTTATTATTTGTTTTATTATAGTCAGCTTTTCTCCCTGAGACTCAAGGCGAATTATATAATATGAATAAAAACGATTAAATCAAACAGCAGGTGGGTGAAAAACTAGGATAAAACTTACCTTTCTGTACTCGTTTCTATTGTCTTTTGTGTCGAGGGAGATATTCTTCAGCTTCATAACAATACATGCGTTCCACCTAAAAATGGCTAGAAAACGTATGCTGCAGATGCTGATAGTTCACAACAGCTTAGAAAATTCATACCTGGCTTGTATTTTTCCTTAGAGGCACAAGTAACCAATGTTTGTTAATAGATTCAGGTGGGGTAGCCATGCTGGTCTGAAGCCAGAGAACAAAGTTCAAGTCCAGTGGCATCTTTAAGACCAACAAAGTTTTATTCTGGGTATAAGCTTTCATGTGCACGCATGCGTCTTCAGATACATTGACATGGAAGTTGCCAGTCTCCTTGTGGACTGGCAACTTCCATGTCAATGTATCTGAAGAAGTGTGCAGCAGTGATACTGTTGACTCATTGAAATATATCAGCATTGACATAGGAAGCAGATCCCGATGAGAAAAGTAGGCCATAAATAGAGATGGTGATAACAACAATAACAATAGACAGTAATACTCACTAGTTCTGTCTGAGACGAAGAAACTGTGAACAGTCCTCCTTCCAAGTACGGCCAAGAACTGTGGCCTTCAACCTTTCCAGACCCCGGATCAATCTTTCACCTCTAGGGGACAGTATGGCACCCACAAAGCTGCAAGCACGTGATCTTAGTCACATGACAGGAAGAAGGGGAAGCAACGTTATGACATCACCAGTGTCAAAGCCAGGAAAGTGAGTGGCAGAAGTGTACTGTAGCACAGAGCAAGCTAAGGGTTAAAGCCATAGAGAAGTCCTTTCCACCGCTCAGTGGCCTGATGTTACAGTCCTGCTGCTCCTTGTTGCTCATAGGCTATAAAGACACAGGAGATGTGGCTCCCTTGCTCGCTATACATGTGCGCTAGCAGCAGGTCCTTCCAAAAGGCAGCACAAAAAAAATTGTCATAGGTTCCATAGGCTCCACTACCCACCTGAGGGTCCTGACCCACGGGTTGAAGACCACTGGTTTAGAGACATTATGCAGTTCATAGATTTTGGTCTGGTGCCTAATTCTTAAGATCTTCCTTAAACTCCTCTTGGGCTTACCTATGAGACAAGGGAGGACTCACAGCTCGCTGTCTCCCTCTACAGGTAGAGCTGGAACGTGGCAAGACCCTCCACATCAAAGCCTTAGCTCTGGGTGACATAAACCGAGCTGGACAGCGGGAAGTCTTCTTTGAGCTCAACGGGCAGCTGCGCTCCATTCTGGTCAAGGACACTAAAGCCATGAAGGTGAGAAAATAACAGTCACGTTATAAATAAATAAAAGCTGAGGGGGAGAGAGTGGTTGGGGGGCTAAACCCTGCTAAAATTTAGTTCGTGGCTTCTGTGCAGGCACACATGGGAATGTGTTTCCGCAGGCCTGCCACCGGGAGGAGCTAGTGAGCTCTTTAAAGAATGTTCTAGCATCCCAAGAGTGCTCCCTTTCCCAACTATCAGTGTGAGCTTCCCACCCAAAGTCATGTGATGTGGGAGGGGTGAGCATTCTCCCCTCAGTTCTCTTTTTGCTGCCACAAAGAGAGGACATTTATCGGCGAGCTGATTTTTTCCCCTGAGGTCAAACTCTCACTGGGGTTCCCTCAGATGATTGAATAAGGCTTTGTTCAAGAAATGCTTGGAATGTGAGGCCAAGATGGCCCAAAATGAGGACCAGGTGTCATGCCTGCTGTGTCTGGGTGACGGACATGTTGCCTCCTCCTGTCAGGCCTGTTCCTGACTGACACCGAAGGTGAGGGAAGGTCGAGTGGCTCATTTGAAGGCTGCCCTCTGGGAGAAGGCTTTGACTGCTCCGAAGGCTTTGCCTCGAAAACAGCTGACAAAACGGCCTGGACCGCCTTCAGTGAGTTCTGCTGCCCCTGCCATCCCTCCTCAGATGACTGCCAAAGGGGAGATGGCCCATCCAGTATCTGAGCCGCCAACTAAAAAGGCGAAGAAAAAAACCGAGACACTTAGATCGTGAACCACGTGGATCTCTTCCCCCCAAAAGAGCGCATCAGCCCAAACACAGTAATCAATTTCGCCTCATCATAGATGGTTGTTTTCATCCCGGCATTGATCGATTTCCCTGCCTGTTGATCGACCATGTTCGAGTTCTCAAAGCCATTGCCCCCCTCAACTTCAGTCACTATCGGGGTCACCTCGGACACGATCGCCAGGAAGACACTTCGACATCGAGGTCCACTCGGTGCCAAGAACGTCTTTGACTTTGAGGCAGTGGCATCACTCCGATATCCTCGGACGTCAAGAAATTGAAACCTCCGACATCAAAGAAAGATAGGCACCATGAACAACCTTTGAACTTTTGGATATTCTAATTATGCAGAGTGAATAACGCAGCACAACACATGTATATGAGCTTTAAACAAAAAACTTTACTTACTAATGAGGAAAGGGTTTACTGGGAGATTAAAGATACAAACATAGGATAAACATCCTCTGTAACTGCTCTAATCTACATCTTGACTCTCAGGACTCTAAAACTGATGTGAGAACGGACTAGAGAAGTAGAACAAAGAGCAGTAAAACTGAAATCCAGTGCTTACTCACTAGTCCATCCTCATTCTATTGATTACCCAACTGGAGAATCCCAATGCTAATTATGCATTTTGTTGTTGTTGTTCAGTCACACAGTCAAGTCGGACTCTTTGTGACCCCATGGACCGCATCACGCCAGGCCATCCTCATCACTGGAAATTTCTGGTGGGAAATATGTGCAGACTGTACGATTGAGTCCCTAAACGTAACTTGCTAGGATATTAGCATGCATAAACAAACAATATCAATTCTTCCATGACTACAGAGAGAGAACTTGAAAATCCCAACACAAACCCACCCTGGTGTCCTCTCCCAGTTGTATTACCATTGAATTGAGGGAACTGGGAAATCTGTCAGCCTCTGCCATGGTACACGGGATCACAATTGTCTCGGTCCTCCAGCTATAGACGCTCCACTACCAGAGAGGATGCAAGATTACAGGTCTCTGGCTCCAAGGTCGATGTCAAGAGGATTCTGACCACAACTCCGAAGCAGTGTCTCTCCCATCACCAGACAATACCATTGAAGTCCATGCAACGCCATCCCCTACTGATGATCTTAAGCTCGATTTGGAGCAAATAATTCGAATGGCATAGGCATTAAACTTACAATACATTGCTTCTGAACCACTGATGCAGATGTTATTCGACCCTGTGCTGCCAGGTCCAAACCAGCCTTCACCCAAGCCTTGGCTAGAAAACTGGAGAATCTCTACAGGGTAAAAGAGAGCAATTGTAGCTACCTCTTCCAACACCCAAAGACCAATCGTTTGTCTCCAAGGTGTTGCCCACCAGAGAAAGTTTCGGGTCTCGCAGTTCACATATGGACAAAGAAGGGCGAATGCTGGACTGTGTGGGATGTAAAATCTACTTGTCTGGGGCCATGGGCCTCCGAGTAATTAACTTTACAGCTGTGATGGGATTGTGTAATCGGTTGCTATGGGATAATATGACCCCACTCATTGAATTACTTCCTGATGATAAGCAGGCACCAGCAAAGGCTGTAGTTGAAGAGGGAAAGAAATTAGGGAGGCAACAACTCAGTGCCTCCCCCCATGATGCAAATTGCCACAGCAGGGCAAATGGGATCTGGGTTGGTGCTCAGGAGGCACTCATGGCTAAAGTCCTCAGCCCTCCCACCTGAGACACGGGCAAAAATTGAGGATTTACTATTTGAAGGGAAGGAGCTCTTTAGTGAGCAAACTGATGACGTACTAGAAAAGATTAATAAATACAAGTTAACTGGTAAATTCTTTGGGATTACTTCCAGTAGTGATACTCAATCAAAATCCAGGTATTGGCCTAAACAAGGTCAGAGGTACAATTATAGCAGGTCTTTCAGATATTCTGACACCAGATATCAAATGCCCCCTTACCAAGGGTCAGCTAGGTCCTCTTATCCGCGGGAAAATCAAGGAAGGAGGCAATTCAAACAGAATGCTCCCCAACCTCTTAATGCAGCCAGGGAGCAGGGATTCATACCTACCCTGACTTGGAAAGAGTTTGTTTCAAGACCGGTTACGATAGTTTTTGGAGTTGAAATGTTATCCTCCTTATTCTCCTTGCTCCTTCTATTATACCGCATGGGTTGGAGTCTGCCATCTGCCTTGAAACTGCCTCTTTATTGCAGAAGGGGGCAATTCTGAGGATAAACCCTGAATCGGATTTATGTGGTTTCTGTTCTCCTTATTTTTAATAGATAAGGAGGACAAATTTTTACACATGCCAAAATTTTGGAGGTTGTCACTGCAAGAGGTCATCCTCCCGATTCAACAAGGCTCATGGTTTGCCATCATTGACCTCAAAGATGTATTTTTCCATATTCCCATTAACAAGTCACACAGGAAATACCTCTGTTTTATACATGAGGGCGTGGCCTATGAGTATACAGTATTGCCTTTTGGCCTAGCTTCTACCCCGAGGATATTCTCAATGTGTATGTCCATTATTATTTCACATTTATGTTACATGGTTGTGTGATTTATCCCTACTTGGATGACTGGCTTTTTGTCTCAGAGTCTAGAGAATCCCTTCAACTAGCCCTTGATAAGGCCAGGCACACATTGCTATCGCTAGGTCTTATCATTAATGAGGACAAGTCCTCATTTGAACCCTCCCAATGTATAGAGTTTATAAGGGCGGTGCTAGACTCTACACGGGGTAAAGCCTCTCTACCCCTCTTGAGAGCACAACGTATTCAGGCTTTTGTTCAAAGAATTAGAACCGGTAAGCGACAAGCTGCAAAATTCATTCAGCAGTTTCCGGGATACGTGTCTTCAACCACTGTGGTCACGCCCTATGCCCATCTCTTCATGGAGCCATTACAAAATTGGTTCCTCAGGACATTCCATCCTCGACTCTCCTTGGGCCAAGTTGTTCATACCCAGATCAGTCATCAGATTTTTGTTCTTGTGGTCTGATCCTCTGAACCTCCGTAAGGGTACCCCCTTAGGCTGTCAGACTCATGAGGTTCAAGTTTGCACGGATGCCTCTTTGATTGGGTGGGGAGCCCACTGCGAAGAATTTACAGTGCAGGTTTTGTCGTCCCCATCCCAAGCAAATTCACACATTAACCTGCTTGAACTTAGAGCTGTAAGACATGTTCTTTCTTCTTTTACAGGGTTGCCAAGAGGACGCAGAGTTCTCCTGGCCATGGACAAATACCACTGCAAAGTTTTTTATCAACAAGCAGGGGGGGACAGGGTCCATTCGCTTGTGCAAGGAGACTATGAGAATTTGACACTGGGCAATTGCTCACAAAGTGCACAGTACAGTTCACAAAGTGCATGTTACAGTTACGTAGAGGGTCAGTTAAATGCACAGGTGGACATATTAAGCAAAGACTTCCAGACCATCCACAAAGGATCTCTTTCAGACGGCTACCTCCTGCCCATATTCAAGGATTGGGGGTTCCCTCACATAGACCTTTTCACTGTGGGGTACAACAGAGAGAGCCCCCTTTACTGCTCCATAGCAGTTCTAGGTCAGGGTTCATTGGGGGGGGGGCACCTTCCATCTAACCTAGACAGGTTGCCTGTTTTATGCATTCCCACCTGTTGCCCTACTCAACAAGGTAGTTTCAAAGCAGTGCACAGACAAGTCAGCATGCATTCTAGTTGCGCCTTATTGGCCAAGGCGACAGCATGCATTCTAGTTGCGCCTTATTGGCCAAGGCGACCCTGGTCTCTGATACTGTGGAGTCTGACAAAGGGGTTCCACATGGCTTCCCCCTGTACCCAGACCTGCTTCAGTCACACTCATCACACCTAAACCTACTAGCATTGCACCTGACAGCTTGGTTCGTCACTCCCCTCCCTACCGCTCCACAAGGATACAGGGTGCCCGTAAACCACTCATCACACCTAAACCTACTAGCATTGCACCTGACAGCTTGGTTCGTCACTCCCCTCCCTACCGCTCCACAAGGATACAGGGTGCCCGTAAACCCTCTACTATGCAGACCTACGCATATAAATGGGCACATTTTTCTAATTGAGCACTTGAACATAGCCTGGACCCTACTTCCTGCAATCTCTGACATTTGTGAGTATCTGTTGTCCCTTAAGGATGGGGGTTTGTCTAATTCCTCCGTTAAGGTTTATTTGGCCACCATTTCGGCGTCACATACCTTGGTTAGTGGAGTTTCTGTGATTGCTAACAGGGAGTCCAAACACTTTCTGAAAAGGTTTGACTAATTTA